CAAGTGTTCGGATTGTGGGAGGATCTGCAGAAAACCCACTGCAAGAATCGTCCAATCAGAAAGGCTCTCGCTGACCAGCAGGACCGAACCCTAAAAGTTTTAGCTGTGAGGTGACCATGACAAGGACTGTGCCAGCATGCCACGGAGATCAAGCAGTCATGAGAGGCAGATACACATAGCTATGTTGAAGCTCGAACGGAAAATCTGCAATGTCATTTTAGTCTAAATTTCTACAAGCGTAGCAAACTATGGCATCAGTTTTGCAGGAATATTTTAGTCATTCTCTGTTTTTCAACCATAAGCTAAAAAACGCATGCCTTAACTCACTGCATAGACAATTTGGACAGACATAGTTTTCACCAAGGTTGTTTAGCACTTGTTGAAGTCGCAGGCCAATTGGCGGGGATGAGTCAGGCGTCCAGTGGTAGTCGCCGCTAAACTTGAGACAGTTGGCTAACTGGCTGCAGTTCTCATAATGACTTTGGTGCTGGTTAATGTTACTGTTGTCTCCATGATCTGCGTCGGCGTCTGCAGCTGTGGAGGCTGAGTTGCTGCCAGTGTCTGACTTTGGACTGCCCAACCATTTCTGAATAGCCATGTAATGATATCTGGGCATTAAGCAAACACTGGCAGACTGTTATAGCGCCCAAGCAAAACTGCAGTGACCGACACAACGTGGCACAACTGTGAGATTTCGACTGCCATTTCGCAGGATGGTTAGTCTTACAATGCAGTGGACTTAGCATGAATTCCCTACTTGCAGTTTAATGACAACACATTTATTATTCAAATTGAACTGAGGGTGTAATGCATGCTTCTGCACCCCTGTAGAACCGGGCCTGTATCCCATATCAATCTTTTCACACAAACTTTATATGTATTCTTCAAGCGTCAACCTTTCCCTTTAAACTGATCTCTATGAAGAGCACCTACTGAGACCAGAGGACAGAGGCTACAGGACATAGAGGTGTTTATCCAGAAAAACCCGCTGACCTTAAATCAGATATACTTTCAGCTTCTTAATGGCCGAGTGTAGGAATACGGAGGTTTGGTAATCTGATCTGAGATCTGTAGCTGAAGGGGCCGAGCTGGACTTCCATCAGCTTATATCAGGTTGTACTTGACCTGCAGAGCGTTCAGCATTTTAGCTCGCCGGTTGTTAATCTGCTTAACTGAGCTTTACAGAGATGGAGTTTCTCTCTGTTTCACACAAACACACACACACGCACACACACACACACACACACACACACAAACCCACTTTTATCCCGTCTCGCACACAAAGACACACTTACACTGTTTTACTCTCTCTCTCACACACACACACACACACTTTTATCCTGTCTCGCACACAAAGACACACTTACACTGTTTTACTCTCTCTCTCACACACACACTGTATT